GAACTTTGAATTATAAAATTTTTCACTAACATTGACTTAAAAAAAAGAAATTTTTTTTTTTTTAAACACTTTTTATAGTCAAGACAATGAAAGTGGTATTTTCACACGTTTACATTTAAATCACAACATTAGCGGGTTTGCAATTTAATTCGAATTTACAGCACTACAATTCCGAGTGAATCGCTAAATAAAACGAAAACGACTAACGGAAACACTCGTGTCACCTTCATCAATACTCAATTTTGCGAGAAAATGTTTTTTTTCGTATATGTAGAATCCACTATACATTTAAATGGAGGAATTTCCTTTTTTGTAAAAAAAAAGAACATTTTCTATCATTTACATTTCATTTTATATCATTTACATTATTTTATTAATTTATCTGAATATATTTTTTTTTGGGAAAATAATTCCTAGAAATTAATTATAATGTTTCATTAATAATTAAAATTAAAAAATGGTTATCCTAAAAATTCTTACTTATAATTTTTTGTTAAAAAAAATGATTTTTTTTATCGATTCGGAAAATTTTTTTTTAATAATTAACATTCTTTTAAAAAATAAACTATAATTTTTTTGTTTCATATCCATTTTTTATCTAACTTTTTAGTTTGTTAATAGTTTTTAATGGGAAAAAATTTTTTTCTTTCTTTTTTTTTACATAGTAACGTTCTTGCTAAATACATTTCAAGTTGGTAATATTGAATCTAGTCTGTAAAAGCAGAGTTGCCTCCGGCCTAATGAAGTTGGAAACATAAGCGGATTTTCGTAATGCTGAAACTCATTCAGACTTTGGCAAGGGAGATTCTGTTTCAAATCACGCAAAAGTTTCAGGTTTATAGCACTTTTTCCACAAATATCAAATTCTTTCATTGAAAACATTATTACACAAATATATGTTTACTTTCTCTTTTTATTTATCTTTTTTTCTTTTTCAACTGTAATGTCTAATTATTATTTTAAAAACTATATATTTATATAGAGAAAAAAATAGTTTTTTTCTAAAAGTGTTTTCCTACCTAAAAATTTGGAAAAAAAAGTAAATTAATTTTTTTTATATACGATACTTTTAATTCACAATCTAGCGATGAAATGTTTGAGAAATTTTTTATTTTTCTTTTTTTTTTGGATGTGCTAAGGAAAAGTATATTTTCTTAAGAAGGAAAATAAAAAAAAAGAAGGATAAAAAGATTGTTGCAATGTTGCCGATGAAAGCGCTTTTTTTAAGCCAGCATCCACTTAATCCCTTGAAACGAGTCAATTTCGTTGTGCCATCGAAGCAGGTAAAGCCTTCTCTCTCTCTCTCTCTCTCTCTCTCTCTCTCTTTTCTCTCTCGATACACGCCGCCTGTGGGAGTAAACCTATCGATTCGATATACGGTAGTACACTCTAAAGTGTGCTCTATATACTTTCGATTGTTTAGCCATAAAAGATTGTCCGAGAAATAGGAGTGAGAGAGAGAGAGAGATTGAGGGCGGGTGGAAAGGGGTTATACACAATCCCTCTCATATTTTCTTCATTTTTCCCCTTGAATTGTCAATTTAATAACTCGCTACCAAAAACAGTAAATTAAAAAAATATTAATTACTTTTTTCCCACAAAAAATAATTTTTTTTAATAATAACTCTAATTAGTATAAATAATAATTCAAAAAAATTCGAAATTTAATTTGTAATTACGTTAATTAGTTAATTTTCTACTTTATCGACTGATGGTAAGGTAGGAACCTTTCTAACTGTCAGTCGGTAACAAATAATAAGTTTCGCTTTTGCATTGCATTGCAATCACGTTAATTAGTTAGTTTTCTGTTTTACCGACCGTTGACAAAGTAGGAATCTTTCTAATCATCAGTCGATAATTGAAAAATATTTCTATACCATCTCGTGTTACGAACGAGAAAATTAATTTATTAATTTTTATAATTTTGAACAATTATTTAAAATTTTCTATTCGCCGGAGGAACCAAGTTGCCATTAAAAAGTCAAAATGAACATTCAACTTAATAATGTTTATTTTTAATGTGGGTTCGATTAATTATATCGCCGATAGAAGACGAAACTGCCAATTTAATCTTTAGATCGTAAATAATGTTTCTTAGCTTTGAGATGAAAATCCACACTATTTTTTTGACAGCACAAATAAAAAGGTCTATTTGATTGAATAGAACAATTGGAATTTTAGTTTACAAAAATTTATTAAAAATCAAAGTAAAAATTGCAAAAATTACACATTATATGCTTTCTTTTGTAAAGAATAATGTTTTTGGAACGATACAGTTTTTTTATTACTTACGGCTAGATTTCTCTTACACACTACCGTCGAGAGAGCTTGTTGAGAAGGGAGAATTCTCGCGATCTCGTCACACAATCAACGGGCAAAACGAAAGAAAGGTGTTATGCGTATTTCCGCGTCTCGAAACGCGGTACCGGTACCCTATCAGACACAAGCGGCGCAGGTACAATCCGTACGGACTGGCCGGTTTTAAGAACAAAAAATTATTTAATAAATTATAAATAATTTATTAAATAATTTCTCACTGTACTGATCAACCGATTGGGACTCAGCCGGTTCAAGGTTCGATTTAATTTTACGTCCGCCCAAAGAAAATAGAATTTAAATTGGAGCCAGCTCGCAGACGGGCCTTATTCTTAAAATTAAAAATTGGCTCAACGAAAATCTATCGTGATTCAGCAATTTTAATTTTAGAAATTTAAGCACTGCTGTTAATTTACCTGGCTCAACGAAAATCTATCGTGATTCAGCAGGTATATTATTGAGCTTTCTCCACAGTTTAAACTCTAAGTTCACTTTTTAAAGAAATAATGCAAAAATCAGTAACACGTACTAAGTGATTGACTGAAGACGAATAGGCAATGAGGCCCTATGAGCTTCTGCTTATAAAGAGCATCGCGAGATGCACTTAGTGGGATTAGTGAATCAGGGGTAGAAGGATTCTGGGGGTTTCAGGGGTATCGATAAGAAAACTTAGATCATCGTCCATCGATATTCTCAGAACCCATGATTCTTGTTATTCTTTTCTTTGTTGACACTATTGGAACTGCACATCTCCATATGTGTAAGTGTATATATGTGTTTTTAATAAAGTATAACTCGCAACCTTTGTTGAATTCCAGAGCGGTCATAGTTCTGCACAGATTATCGTTTTCATATTAAAAATGAAACTATTTTCCTTTTTTATATATGCATATACATTTTACGCATACACACGTACATTTACCTTAGTACACATACATATATGCACGACATACATGTCTCAAAAATTTTCTTCTCTTTTTTTTTTATGCATTTTGTTTTTTTTTACAAAATTGACCCTCTTAAAATAAAATCTTAATTGTTGCGAGTTTATATGTGCTTGGAAAATGTGACATGTTCCAATTTAAGCTATCAACAATTATTGTATCTTTATTTCCCCCTTTTTTTTTTAATTTGAAGGTATTATAAGGAAAAGAATAGGGGAAGGAAGGCAGTGTTTGCATCGCGCGATACTCCTCAAGCGCCTCACACATATGCGTTACGCAGGCTATGGGGAGTCCGTGTCTGTGTGTACCGCATCCACGCTACGAGACTCATTGCACCTGAACGCGTGAGAAAGAGAGAGAAAGATAGATAGAATTGACATATGCGATTCTTCTCCCTTCTTATAAAATAATACATTTTCGTAAATATAATAATTGCAATATAATAATCACATTATTGTTGGTTACTATAATATGCGTAGAAATGTGCAACCAAACAATGTATACACATATCTATGCATATCACTTTGGCATACTATGAACACACGTACACACGATAAAAATAATGCACACGCATACGTGCATATACAATGCATATTCTTTGAAATAATATTTGATAATGATGATTCTAATAAGTAGAAAAATAGTATTGGTAATATATCCAATTGTTTATAATAATAATTATGATTAATTATTAATATTAATTTTAGTAAATGTAATTAACAATGATAATAATACGATTTATCATTATTAATAAAAAAATCATGAATTAACAATAATTTGCATATTGTTAATTAATTAATTACTGCAAATTACTAATAAAAATGAGTAAAGTATAATTGTTTTATTTATAATAATATTTTAGTATCTTTATATAAGGTAAGTACACTATATTATATTTTTCATGCATATATTTATAATATTCAAGCTTGAATATTGATATTAGATAATTAATATAGTTTATAATATAGCATAATATAATATAGTATAAATCATAATATAGAATAATATAACATAAGATAGAATAAAATAATATATTATAATATAACAGTTTAACAAAGTTATATTATAATATCATAGTCATAGATACATTTTTAGAAGCAACGAGAATATAAGACTGTGTGTGTGGAGTATCACTCAACGCGCGCGATTATCGGGGATTCAAATTACATGCCTATATACATTGTGGCATCGACTTGGAGATTTTATTCTTAAATAATTTTCAATTATTCTTGAAATTATTTATTATCATTTTATTTATCTTTTATTTATAATTTCGTTACGATAGTTCGTAACAATCCACCGCGGATTTTTCCGTTTTCGTCCCCGAAAACTCATGGTCTCGACCACAGCATTCCTTATACTTTGTATATCGACATATAATCTAAATATTGTGTCTACTTGGTGACTCTTCTAAGCACTGCTACAGTATAGGACCCAGTATCAATGTCTTTGTGCTGATACAAATCAGTTCATTTCGTGAAGTGATCAAGTGCGCTTGTGAAATTTAAAATCTCTGGGATTATTTTATTTTGAACAATTTTAGTGGATATCGGAGGATTTTATTTTAAACAATTATTGTAAAAGTGCGAATAGTACAAAAACTTTGGAAGACTATATTTTTTTTTATTATAACAATTAGTGTAAAAGTGCGGGTGGTGCAAAAACTTTAAAAAAAAAAAAACTATTTTTTTTTTTTAAAAAAAACAATTAGTGTAAAAGTGCGGGTGGAGAGTAAAAAAAATGGCTGGAAATGCGGAAAACAGCAGAGAATTTATGGAGAGGTTTAGTAAGTTTCAAGATTTTCTATTTTTTTATTTCTTTTTACTATTATTGAATTATTTATTGATTGTTTATAACAATCGATAAATATATCTCATTCTCGGTAAACAAATACACACATCCTTTTAAAAATAGATAATAATTATTATTATTATAAAAAAAATTTTTTTTTTTTTTTTTTTTTTTTTTTTAACCTAATTTATTTATCTTAATAATTATTTAATAATTTTAATTTTGTTTATAATAAAAATTTTATTTATTTATTATTATTATTATTTTTTTTATAGATTTCAAATAAAATTAATAATTTTTGTTATTAATTTATAATAATAATTATTATTGATCATTAAATATTAATTAAACAATTTAAAAATATTTCAAAATGAAAATCGTTCATAATTTTGAATTTGCTTTCTAAATGCTATCAAATGTATATTCCATGCTCTTGGAGGGGTATGTATATAGTCGATGCGGCGCCGCATCTTACACTTGATGACAGCATATATAGATATACATGTATACACAGTTCCAGCGCGATGATCATAATATGAACCCAGACACATTATATTACAAAAAAATATTTTAAAATTAAAACTAAAATATATTATTATTACTATTATTATATTTGTTTAATTTTCTTTTTTTTTTTTTTTTTTTTTTTATTAATTAAATTAATAACATACATTGTACATAATTTAAATATAATTAATATTTTTAATTATTAACAATCGATTATAATTAATATATATAATTTTTTTTTTTTTTTTTTTTTAACTTTCTTTAAAATTTTAATTGTTTATAATTTTTTAGCAATATAAAATTACTTAATCAAAATATTTTTTAAATTTAAAATTAAAATTGATTAGAATAAGTAATTATTTTCAACTTTATTATTGATGTTTTATATAAAAAATTCTTTGTTCATAAAAATAAATTTACATTTAAAATTGCATTTTTTTTGTCTTGGTTCATATATTCAAAGCGCTATTAGGCATGGGTACCATCTATTTAGATGGGTGCGCGTACAGACAGCTCGGCGCCACAGCTCATGCCTTGTACACAGTATATATATATATATATATATATATATAGAGAGTATACATGCTTACGGTTTGAACATAGTGACCACAATATAGGATTTAAATGCACAGTGCATATACTGAGTTTTATGAATGAATTTCTCCTATATTTTTATTTAATAAACAACATGTATTAGTTAACTAATTAATTATTAATTAATTATTTATTTAATAGAAATTTCGTAAAAAAAATTTAAGTTTACTAAGTTTTGTTTATTTAATAAATTTATTTAATGTTATAAATTTTTAGCAACAATTTTTTTTTATACATATAAAAAATTGTTTATTTAACAATTTTCAAAAATTTAATAATAAAATTTGGTACATATAATAAAATTTTGATAATTATTTAAATTTTAATAATACTTATATTATTATTATAAAATTTTATTTCTGTAACAATTTCTTTAATAATTATTATATTATTATTTATTTATTTATTTATATTTATTTATTTATCTTTTTTGTTTTTAATTAGTTAATTTTATAAAAATTTACCAAGAATTATAAATTATTTAATAAATATTTATTTTAATAAGAATTATGGGAATTTTTGTTAACTTAAAAAAAAATTGTTTATTTAACAAATTTTTAATATTTAATACAAATCTCCAATAATAATTTAAAATTTAGCAAGAATAATTAAAGCATTTAATAAATATTCGGCTCAATAATAATTTTATAAATATTTAGAAAAATTATTTATTTAACAAATTTTTAATAATTATTACATTGTTTTTATTGTAATTTTTTTTTTTTTTTTTTTTTTTTTTTTTTTTTTAAATTGAAAATTTTTTTTTTTGAAATCAATGACATTTTTTAATTAGGCTTATAGTTTACGAGATATTTAGGATTTTATCTGGCAGTACCTTTTTATATAAATTTTCGAATGTTTTGAATTTGGAGAAAAAAAATTTTCAATCTCGATTTACATGTTTTAGATCTCAAAATTTCGTGTCTCATTGTGGTAATCAAATTTCGGTATTGATACGAACTACAAGAAAATGAAGTTTAAAAATTTATTTTTATTTATTTATTCCATAATTTTGTTTATTTAACAATAAAAATTTACCAAAATTTATCTGATTTTAACGTATTTTTGTTTAGTTATCGAATTTTTACGAAATTCAATAATAATTTTTATTACTTTGAAGAAAAATTGTTAAAATTAAATTTAAAGTTGGTTCAATGTAGGATCTATGTCGGTCGGCCTATCTAATGACAAATGCTCAATCTGTCGCTTGACTATATCCCCTCTATGTAGGCTAAGTAATATAGGACCTCTATAGAAGATATATATATGCGCTATGTAGGCCATAGTATGTAGAATCTATATAGGACTTAAATGTATTATTTACGTAGGTCAAATGTTCTACAATCTATATGGAGTTTTTATTTGATTTCTATATAGGCTTAACAGTATAGAATCTATATAGAAATTTTGAGGAAATCCGATATAGATGAATATAATATAATCTATGTAAGACTTGAAATCATTTCGAATTAGGAAGAATAATAATTGCATTATTATTGCAAAATTTTAATTATTTTATGCCCCTTTTTTTTTTTATTTATTTAACAATTTTTATAATTAACAGGTAATTTTTCTATAATTTACCAAAAATTATTAATTATTCTAAAATTGCGCTTTATTAATAAATTTAATAAATTTTGTTATAATTTTTATTATTTAACAGAAATTGTTTATTGAACAATAAAAACAGAATTTTATTAATTTTTATTAAATTTGAGATAATTTTTATAAATTACAATTATTTAATAAAACTTTTATTAAACTTTAGTAATAATTTTTATTTAAATTTTCATATAATTGCACTATTATCATCAATCAATTTTTTTTTTTTTTTTTTTTTAATATATGAATCGAAAAAAACTTTATAACCTAGAGATTTTGTTAGTTTTTACAGCAAGAGCTGAAGGAGGGGTGGTTTCCGCTGTGTGTTCCCACACCGGTATTAGATATCGCTTTACGATTGAAGAGGGTAAGTACTGTGAATAAGAAAATAAGGTAAGAAAAAATATACATATATACACATACACATATACATTTGTACTTAATTACAGACGGATGGCATTGGTATAAGGCCAATGAATATGAAGGTGCAAGCGATGCTGATGATGAGCGCGGTGAGGAGGAAAGGATAACGGTCGGGTGCAATATTGCAGCCCGCGATCGCAGCCCCGGCTCATCACGCCCGCCCAGTCAGGAGCACATCTTGCCCCCCACATGTAAGTATTATATATATATATATATATATTAGAGAAATATTTTTAAATTCAATTGTATTTATTGATTTTTGTGGTTTATTCTGGATTTTTAGTGGAGGAACCGGTAGGTGAAGATTGGCCTGAAGAGAATGGCCTGGCAGGTGATGATCTGCCTATAACAGGTAGGATATTGTTAACGTAAAGCCCATACGTGTATAAATTTTAGACATGCATATTAATACTTTAGTTTTTATAGATCGAGCTGATGAAGATGTTACATCTCCGGATGTAAGTGACATTGAGTCACGAAATTGCGAAGAAGATTTAGAAGGTAACAAAACCTCTTTTTTTAGATGAAAAACATATACATAATTATGGGTTCCTATATATGCATATATATACATTTTTCTTTTTTTTTTTTTTACAGATGAGGCAGAAGAAGAAAACGAATCGGAGAATGTTACGTCTCCAGATGTGAGTGACATAGAGTCACTAGGAGATGACATATTTGTCGAAGGTGAGTCATGAATATTATATATTAAATACACATTTGGGTTTATATTAACATTATTATTATTTTTTTTTTACAGATGATGTTCAGGGAGCAAGGGCTTTGACTCCCCCCGATATGCCCGAGCTTGTTTCTTGGGCAGATGAGTTTGAGGGAGCAAGGGCTTTGACTCCCCCCGACATGCCCGAGCTTGTTTGTTGGGCAGATAACGGTATGTTTTTTTATCATTACATGTATCCTTATATAAATTTTTGTATAACACTTGTACGTCTTTTCTGACATTCATACTTTTATTCATTCAATTTTTATATTACAGCTTATGGTTTTGCAGCCCAAGCTTTGGGTCGGAGTATAACTCCGCCCGATATGCCCGATCTCTTTTCGTGGGTGGATAATGGTAAGATATATATATATTATTTATTTATCATATTCGTATGACCTTTTTATCATTCATTCTTGTATTTATTCTATTTCGTTTTATAGGTGAGGGTCGAGCAATGCGAGGTTCGGGTCGGAGTACGACTCCTCCCGATATGCCTGAACTAGTGTTGGCGGGCAATGGTAAAATAAAAAAAAAAATTTATCTTCCTATACATTTTATATCACATTTGTACGCCTTTTTTTTTTAACATTTATACTTACATTTATTCTATTTTATTTTACAGATTATGGTCATTCAGCACGAACTTTGGGCAGGAGTAGAACTCCTCCTGATCTCATGATGCCTGATAATGATGGTAATAATAATTTTATTTTTTTTTTACAATAGTATTTTAATTATTTATAATTTTAATGATTTGTGGTATATCTTTTATTAATTTATTAGGTTGGGTACCATTCTTGCGTCGACAAGAGCTTCTTCCTGAGCTCCAACACTTTGAGAAAGTGATTGGAGTTCTTTTGAAAATAAAATTGAGGGGGGAGGACGATGATACAGCCGATTACCGCATAATTTATCAGGAGGAATCTGACGCACCCCCTCCGTGTTAGTAAATCTGTTTATAAAATATATATAATATATATATAGGTACATTCAATAAGTAAATTTTGTTTTCTTCTTCTTTTTTTAGATTGGTGTTTTGGGCCCACTAACCCCTACGAAGAATTATTATGCGTAATTCTTCAGTTGCGAATTGTGGAGGCAATAGGAACTCGAACTGAGTATCGCGTAATTTACGGATTCGACGATTAATATATTATTTTTATTTTATTATTATTAAAAAAAATTTTTTTTTAATTTTTTTTTTTTTAATTTTTTTTTTTATTTTCTTGTTTAGTTAATAATTGTAAATTTATTATATATATATTATTATTATTTTATTTTATTTTAACTTTAATTTGTGTTATATGGACTCATTTTCATCTAGAATTAATATATATTAAGTTCTGAGCAAATGTCCGGTTGTATGCGTGTGTGTGTGTGTCACAAAATATTGTGTACAAATTATCTCAAAAATTTTAACGGATTGTCTTCGAATTTTGTATGCTAAAATCTGACACAGGATTTACGGATATATCCAGAACGTTTTGTTTTTTTTTTTTTTTGTTTTTTTTTTTATAAAATTGTAAATAAATTCACACGGCATTTATTCACACATATGCATTTACTCGCATTCATTCATTCACACATTCACACATAATCACTCATAAAAAAATGTATTTAGAAAATATATATATATTTTTTTTTTCAATAGCAAAGAATGTTTGTTTGGTTGTTGTTTTTGTTTTATTTATTTATTTATTTATTATTATTATTTTTTTTTTTAAGAATAGTTTAATTACTTATTCATCTCCACTTCCAGTAAAACTTTCCTGTTTTTGATTCTTTTAACTGAAAATTTAAACTTAGGGTATGACTGTAGCAGCAATTAGAGTGAGTATAAAAATCATACATATATATATATACAAAAAATTTTGTCTTTTATTTGTTTTAACCATAGTTATTTTTGTAGAATTTCATCGCATGTAGTCAACATCGTTGCACTGATCACAAATTTTTTACCACTCACATCGTTAGAACTGAGAGGCCATTTTCTTTATTAAACTACACTTGACACATGGAGATTCTTTTACTGATGGAGAGAACTGGAGCTCGTATATTTTATTTTGAATGGGGAAAACTGGAATTTGTTGTAGAGTTCAGCATCGTATTTGGATAATTTTTGGGACTATTTGTAGAAAAACAAACAAAAACTCGCTGCATTGTTGATGAATGTTGACAAGATGAAAATTATATGCACTGGTTCGTATAGTTAATATTCACTTAATTCATTATTGTTTTGCTTTTTCTTATTATTTTATTTTTGTAGGATTTCTTTTTGAAAAATTGGCTTCGGTTTCCTGTTTGATGATGGTTTGTATAGTTTTATAACATTGTTTTTGATTTTAATTAAAAGTTTCGTGAGAGTAATTATAAATTTTCTTTTAGCTACTGAAGATAATTTTTCAATGGTATGACTCTTTTGTTGAACGGGAATGAAATCTGGGTCGTTTGCTGGATCTGATGCAGGACACATTTAATTTTGGAAGGAGCAGCAGGATTCAGCATCGACTATTATTCAGACAGAGACGTCAAAAGCAACTCTGTCCTGGAGCATCACATGAGGCGCAGGTGGAGGAGGCGGTGGAAAATTGTTGTTTCTTCTACGTCTGCTAGATATCTTTCGATAGCATAGGTAGATATTGCGAGACAGGATCAGCATCAATAGCAATAGTATAACCTTGAATCCAATGGTGATGTAGTTTTTCACATCTAAAATGCCTCCTATTAGTGGAATTTCCATCCTTTCTTTGCCGTGGTGAAATATTCCAGATAGTTTTTATTGAATGGGATTTTAGACCTCCTATTTTTACAGAAGAAATAAATGTTAGAATTGAATTTAAATGAAAACAGTGTTTGTATTTGAATTTCTCCAATACATACTGACATTAGGACTGATACTATTCACACTCGTTTGGTCGTACATGCGTATCTGACATTCCGAGTTCCTTTTCGTAATAGGTAATAGTTCGAAAATGCCCTCCAACGACTAACGCTTTCCTGAAGTGAGTTTCGAACAAGCTTTCTATAGTAGATTGTCGCCAGTCATTTTCATTGTAACGTTCTATGAAATTATGGTCTATATATTCGAAATCATCTTTTAAATACCAAGGATAGGGTATGTTTATAATTTGATATTTTGACTCTTCTGCTTCTTTAAACAATGGTGGTAAATCAAAACATGAACACAAACAACTTGTAAATCTCCTATTTATAGGTATTTCATGAAAATCAGTTATTCCTATTTTGTTTAGTTTATTTTTCCTAGCTTTGTGGATAGGTGTCTTGAATGGGAGAGACAATGGGAAAGAGACGTGTAAGCATTGACCATCTGGTAGAAATTGTAAAGGCCTAAAACAACAATTCATGTTGTTTATTAGATAATATATCCAGGAAGAAAAACCCATATCTAAACCTATTTGAAGAGTGAGTGTATTACTGCTTAGAATAACATACACTACATAATTATACAAAAGGCTTTTTGGATCTATGATTTTAATAGATCTTAGAATAGCATAGAGATTGGGATATAGACAAATAAAACCAGATTTTAATCGAAATATTGTCCTTTGTCCAGAAAATACTTTTACTGTCAATGATTCGAGAATTTCATTGTCGGATTCATCATAAATGATCATTGTTTGACCAGCAACTCTAACATCACGAATATTTTGAGCAGTTTTTAGACAATCTAGCAATATGGCATTATATGCTAAATTAGCTAGTGTTCTTGGGATTTTCCATGATTTTTCGAAATCCTTTAATAATCTTTTGATAATTAATGGTGGATTTTTCCGACTAATTTCCGAAATAGGGACATCTTCTACATTGGGAAGCAAGACTTCTAAAAATTCACTCATTTTGAGTTATATATATATATATATATTTATATATTTTTTTAATATATATATATACCTAATAATTAAACGGGATGTTGAAGATAATATTCTACAGTTAGGTTTGAAACTAATCCTAATGTTATAGCAGTTTTAGTTCCAATTATTGCAGAATTAAATTGAAAAGATGATTCCGTATTAGGGTCTATAACTAGAAAGAAAATTTTATCACCGTTAACTTCTAATTCTACACTTCCAACTACTAAAAGAAATTCGTTTCCTATCTTCTCTATAGAATGACTAATATTTTCATATTCCACGTTTAGAAGATTTACAGAAATAAAATTGTGTTTTGTTTTTAGAGATAGTAATACGTCTATTTCGTCTACAATTAAATCTGGGGACATCAGCGTTATATATTCTTCTCCATTTAACACTATTTCATCCTCAAAATTGGCAGGTGGCATTTTCAACGCTTAAGTACATATTGTTTTTTTTTTTTTTTTTTTTTTTTAGTACTCCTTACACAGTTTGCTTCAATCTCTTCACAACCTGATAAAAGAGAAAGATTTTAATTAACAATATGCCATCATTAATTTATCTTTATGTTTTGAAAATCTTTCGTTATTTTCATCTTCTAGGATTACATTATTATTTTGAGTAAATCCTACTACGGTATAAGGACCTTCGGCTCTCTTATCGAATTTATTCGCTCGGATTTCTTTATACGCGAACACCTTGTCGCCAATTTTCGCTTTTAGAGGGCGGGCAGTCCTATCATGATATTCTTTAGACTTTAGTTTCGCTTGGACAAGATTTTTGGCAGCTATTCCCTGAATTTCGCTCATTCTAGTTATAAGTTCTTTTAAATAGGATCCATAAGTCTCAAGCTCTGGTCCTTGGGGAAATGAACTTGGAATTCTTGCTAGTTTTCCGAAAACCAACTCGTAAGGAGTGAAATTAGTTGCCTCGTGAACTGATGTATTATAATTAAACATCGCAAAAGGTAAAAGACGATCCCAATCGTCAAAATCCTCAGCATAATGTTTAATAAAATCTGTCAGCTCAATATGGCTTCTTTCTAATGCTCCATTGGTTTGAGGTCTGTAGCCAGAAGTGGTTATTTGTTTAACTCCAAAAATTCTTTCCAATTTTCTCATGAGTGAACTTATAAAACTTCCTCCTCGATCAGTAAGAACACATCTAGGCGCTCCAAACTGAGAGAATAAATGAGTAGCTACTGCATGAGCGATTGTGGTTGTTTTTATATCGGAAATAGGGACTGCTATACAATATTTACTGAAATTATCTTGCATAGTGAGAATATACCGATTCCCATTTGGAGTAGTAGGTAACTTTCCTACGGTATCTAGGGATACTTTGTCAAAAGGGCCTGCAGGAGTATCGGTTATTATCATTGGTTCACGAGTACGAGCTCTAACTAATTTATTTTGAAGGCAACTCTGACATCCTCGTATAAATTCTGTTATTTCATCTCGCATTCGAGGCCAAAGGTAGCGTTCTCTAATTCGTCTATATGTCTTCGTTATCCCCTTGTGACCTGCTAGTAGACTTTCGTGATATTCCGAAATAATTTTTGGCCTCAATTCTGGGGGTGGAACTTCAATTTTTCCGTGGCACAATATCATAGTGATATCGCCACCGCGGAATATTTTTGTTAATAATTCTGTCATTTTACCTTGGGGAAGGGAACCTAACAAATCACCTGTATTTGCCATACGACATGTAGATCGAGTATCTCGGCTCAAAGCTAATTTAAGATTTTTCAAACCTAGAATTACATTTCGCCAGTCAATTTCGTCATAATGTCTTTGTTTAACAATTATTGAATAGGTACAATATCGTCCACTAGGGGTAATAAGTATCTGACCTATTTTTGGTCGTTTTTCCTGCAGTTCTTGAAGATCGATTCTCTCGGTTGCCACTAAAAGTTTTGAAATAGCATCAACTGGTTCACAATCTTCTGACATGAAATGAGCATAATTGTCTCTTTCATATGTTAATGGTTCTGACCATTTTTGAATTACGTTATTTTTAGTCAACACGTCTTTCGTTATTTTAAAGTCATTGTCGTCACAAGTATCAGAAAAAGATGGGGAATCATAATACGGAATACCTACACCTTTGGAAGATTTTTCTATGGGTGTACACTTTGTTCCCGACACATTATCATTAGTTTTTTCCTGTAGTCGGCGTGGCACAACACTAGATTTTTTTCCCATTTTTGAACCATTTGTTTTCATGTAGACAAATGGAGTAGATTGAGCATCAGGAATGACGGAAAATCCAGGTGTT